TAAAATAATTATGATTTAAGAAATTTTAAATAAATAATAAAAAAATGTTTTTAATTAGTAAATTTTTATATTCTATATTCATGAAACAATACGTCACTATATAATAATTGAGAGAGTTGGAAAAAAATTATATAATCACAGAAAAAAAATTAGCCACCATAGCCAATTTTAGCTATGATAAAAAATATTTTTTAGCTATAGAATTCTTCGTTAAACTATATAGCTAAAAATATTAATTATCTCATACCTAAATTTTAACTGGTAACTAATATTTTTAACTATAGTTTAACGGAGAATTTTATAGCTAAAAAATATTAGTTATCATAGCTAAAATTTAGGCATGCTAACTAAATTTCATGTGTAATATAGGGACAACTAAAAGCTACAATAGTTAATTTTTGTTTTCCGTGAGAATATAGTATGAATCAAGTTGTTATTAGGCAATCTGACTATTCGCAACGCTAGATTAATACGAGTTAATTATAATTAACTCGTTATTCGTTTTTAATTTCATTATTATTTTTATATATTTTTATTAATTTTTACAATTTTTTTATTTTTTATCGCTCGATTCTCCTGCGCGCAGGTCTTTCTTACTTTAAGAACTAAGCTAGCCATGTGGTACTCGTATTTACGACTTTGTCCTATATATAATGATATTTCCCATATAACCTCATCATGTTAATTAATTTCACATAAAAGCTCATGAAATCATAATAATGTCAATTGTCATTACAAATAGAAAATAAAAGAATATGCACGTTCATGTAAAAAATATTAAAAAGTTAAAAATATAATTTTTTCCACTTGCATTAATAAGCTATCATAATAAAAAAGAAATCATTTAATTGAATTGAATTAGATGATATCTTAATTTGTAAATGATAAAAATCATTATTTTCAATTCGCAAATTATATAATAAATAATATGCAAGTAAAGTTATACAATTTAAAATTTTATTTCAAACAATTATTTCTAAAAGAACGTAAAAACATATTACTTGCATATTTTAAAATTCTATTAAACTTGAATAAAATATATGTAAAAAAAATCCATGATAAAGTACATTAAAAGAAAAATTAGTTTTTTAATATCTTGTGCTTGTACCGTAATTCAAGAAAATTTTATGCACCGAATAAACTTTTATCAAACTTTTTAAAAAGCAGCATTTATAAGTGTCTCGTGTACATGTGTTTAATTATGTATATATATATATATGTGTGTGTGTGTGTGAATATGAATGTTATATCAGAAAATGTAAGTGTTGCACGTTCGTGGCTGACGTTCGGCAGTGCATTATCAGTTCGCTTCGCGCTCATAGGAAACCGCAATTTCCACAAATTACACGGATGAAAACTGACTCTTGCGACTGTACACCATCGGCTACAGCGCGGTGGAATTCATGGGTCGCGGGTTATGCCGCATTCGGTGGTATGTAGTAATTAGCAACATTGCTCCCAGATCTCTCGTGGATGGGAGGATCAGGCTGTAGGATCTGGTGGAGGGATGCGGAGGGGTCGGCGAATCCGCTTGCACAGATTTCATTTCGAAGGAATAGAACGCATAGAGCGGCGATATTATCTTGCCTGTGTATATTGTGACTATGACGTTTAATGATCGAGCATTAGTCGAGATTAGCAAAAGTCATCGCAAGTCGGAACAAAAATTACTTAAAAATAATGACTTGGATACATCCTTTCGCAGAGACAGCATTTTTAGTGAAGTTTGTGTAAAAATTGTCCTAACATTAGCAAGGTTTAGAATTCAAGAAAAACATTTGTACACTATGGCAATTGATTTTTAAATATTTGCCTTTTTTATAATTAATTTAGTAAAGAAATAAGAATTTAATAGTAATTATAATAAAAAAAACATACAAATACTTTGCAGTGTAGATTTTTTAAATCTATAATCAAAATTGTTTCTCTTTCATTTATGTCTAACGATAACAAATTGTATAGAAAATTCAAATTGGCATTTTAATAAATGCAAATCATTTATTTTTATTAAAAAAATGTTTTATTTATTAAGAAATTCTACTAATAATTCTTTATTACTCTAAGTATTTTTCAGAAAGTTTCCTATAAATATAAAAGCAATGAAAAAATTACATTACTATTCAATTGATAAATAAAATAAATAAAACAATGTCAAAACGTATCAAATCAAGTAAATTGATTACATAATAAAAATTATACAAAATTAATTAGTTAATTATTTCAATTATTATTCTATTATCAAGCAAAGTTTAATAGAAAATTTAACTCGAGATTTATCTTTCTTTTTATTGTTTTTTTATAATAAAAATAATTACAAAATAAAAGAAAATTGCTTATATTGAAATAACTTAAAAATTTGAAACTTAACTTTTCTTTTTTATAATTGTTACATTGACTTATTCGATAAATATTTGAAAAATTATAACATTTTTGCTAATGTAATTCTTTTCTTTCTCTCTTTCTAATATTTTATATGCATTAATGTGCTGATATACATATTATTTTTTCGGAAGAAAAGAGCAGGGAATAATTTATTATCAGATTATTTTCATCCGTCAGATTTCGACATTATTGTACAAAATGTAGATAGTCCAAGCGTGACAAAAAAAATTAATTAACCCGCTTTGCATTTAATAAGCACAACATTAAAATTCATGTAACTACTGTGAGAAGATATTATTACTTATTGTTTGCGCCTAATCGATACAAAAGAATTATATTTATACAATACATTATATATTCTGTTGAAATACGATTAATAAAGACGATATTTTATCACGATTTTTCTTCTGTATGATAAAGTGTCTAAGATACGCAATACTCTGTGAGTTTTGCTTTGCATGTCTTCCCTATCTAAGTTTATTAAAGCGCTGTGCAGCTGTAGTTGAATTATCGCTAGAGTTTCCCATTTCAGTAACCGGCAAAAAGTGCACAGAGCGAGAGACGAAACAATTTGACCGTCTTATTCGAATCTTCTCTCTCCTCTTTAGATATCTATAATGCGTCGAGACTAACTTTTGCCAGAACTCGCACCCTCCTTAAGCTAATGTACCTCAGCAACGATCATTATGTAAATTCAAATGTGATAGAGAGAGAGAGAGAGAGAGAGAGAGAGAAAGAGGAAGGGAGAAAACGCATTTACGCTTGGCTATATAATGCGAGCAAAACTTTTTCACAGAGTTGATTAATTCATTTATCAGTATACATCTGGTATCTGTTGATACCTCTCTTCCCCTTTTCAGTAGAGTTAAAATCAATACTTTTATATTATGTAAATAAATATCTATCAAGAATTTTTCTAAATATATATAATATTATAATAAACACATATAATAATATTTTTAAATATGTTATAAATAATAGTATAATAATAGTATATAATATTATACTATTATAATATAATAGTATAATAGTATAATAATAGTATAATAATAGTATAATAATAGTATACTAATAGTATAATATATTATACTACTATATAATAATAGTATAATATTTCGAAAATACAAGAAAGTATATATTTTTAAATTGTTTTAATCTTTGCAATAAAAAACAAGAAATTTCAAAGAATTGTTAAAGTTTTTCCACATTTTGTTTCTTTTTTATTTATATATTTCCAATATCTTTATTTCAAATAATTTTTTTTATTTTCTGAATAATTCTTTATAAAACTATCTTTCACGCTCCAAGTAGTAAAAAATGTATAAAATATGAGTTTAAAACTCATTTTTAAAGGTAAATTTAAAAAAAGTTAAAATAATTGGTTAAAAAATTTCATTTTATTAATTCAAAAACAGTTTATTTTAACGTTATAATGTAATATAAATATTTATTTAACGTTTATTAATATTTTATTAATAAAATCATTATACTAATAAAATATATTAATAAACGTTAAATAAATATTTATATTATATTAAAATAAACATTTAATTACGTTAAAATAAACGTTTTTAATGAATAAAAAGAGACTTTAATTAATTATTTTAAAATATCTTTAAAAATGAGTTTTAAACGTTTTTATATTTTTTTGCTACTTTGGGGCAGTATTCAATTCAGAATTATTAAAGTTTTTTGCTACTATAAAATTTTTGTAAATCTTGAAAAAGTACATTTTTTAATGGTTAGGGTTAGGTTAAAATTTATATTTTAAAAAACAGAGATATAGAGATATGGATACGTGTCGCATCATTTTTATGTATAACATATAACGCATAATTTGAGTTTTTTATAAAATATATGAGAGCAGCTCAAAAACAAGCGCTTCACAATTAAAGAATCTTATCTTTTCATATTTGTAAAATGAAACTCACCGATTTTGCAGCGATCTCATCTCACGCAGAACTACCATAACTGCATATATATATATATACAATATATACTCTCGTGCACACACGCGTGTCCTTGGGAAGGTGAATCTCGTATCATCCATTCGCCGCTCGATCTATAAAACGACAGGGACAAAAATGTAACAGCGTTAGACAATACGCTCGATTCGAGTCAAAGAAAACTTTCCGCACTAATGAAATTTCTTCGAGCGAAAACTTTGGGCGGGAAAGTAGCGGGATGCGCCGCTGCTGCCGCTGTTGTTGAAACCGCATGAAGTTAATTGCGGACGATAAAAGAAATTGAAGATAAATTATTACCTGCTTCTCCGCTTCGCTTCTCCCTCTCTTCTTCCTCTACACTTTGATACGGCACCACTATTCAAATACGCGTCTTAAATTATATGAATAAATATTATAATTCTTTCGCCCAACTTTTCGGCGACTACACTCGACTGAGAGTGCCGAAGGAATAAACGAGCGCGCATGTGCAGGCACATGCGCGTACGCGGGCGAATGCGCGTGCGCACGCGCATGCGCGTCGCGCATCGTTTGCGGTATAAAGCGTCTGCTACGTAGATGACCATCCACTCGCTTCGAACGATACATTTTACGTTCGTAAAAAATTCTTTGGAATTGTGTAACAGTGTAGGATAGTGCATAAAGAGGGTAAGAGTCACCTTCGATGAATTACAATGACAGAAAACAGCTGTTGTTCATTTTCGACACTTTTTATGGTTGTGTGTGCACTTACGTAACCTGTTTTCTTTTAAGCGTGGAACAATTAATTTAATTTTTTTAATTTTAAATACACAAAATGACACATTGTATGTAGGAGAAGCGAATTACGTGACATATCTTTTGTTTCGTTTCAAATGCATGAAGTGTGCACGTGTGATACAAAATAATGGGATAAATCTAAAATCTAAAAAATATTTAAGATAAATTTATAGATATTCGTTATTAATACATTTTTGTCGCTTTATAGGTCTTGCTATCTGCTCAGGCTTTATCAGCACATACAATGACTGAAGTAAATCCTAGAATCCCAGATTTACAGGACACATTCACTCCTTTTGGTGTACCGCTATCTGGAGTATATAAACGGTAATTCTTGAAGATTGTACTTTATTATTTTAATCTCTGACTTCTCGTCCGCTGCTATTATCAAGACTTTGCTGACCTTTGCAACAGAACGATAATAAAATTTTTTATTTGTGTTGCAGAAGTTATGCTTATGTATCGATCAAGGATAGAATGCCAGTGATATTAACAAAAATTATTGATACTTTCTGTCAAAAAAAGAACGAAATTATATATCGATATGGCCAGGTAATCTCATCCAGACAATGTTTGCTCTATGCTCCATTGTCTTGCTGCAATATGTAGATAATATTATTCAATATTTTAGGACGCAGCAAAAGATATCAAGGATATCATAGGATTTATAAGTCAATTAAAAAATGAAATTGTTACTAACAAAACTTTGAAACCTATGCGTTTAAATACCAAGGCAATGATTAATGATGCAGAAGAATGGAATATATATTTGGAGAACAAGACACACATAGAAGGTGAAATACCTACATGGTTCAATACGACATGGTTATACTGTGAAACCTACATGTATCGTGTATTAGCTCAAGAAATTAGTTTAACGTAAGCTTTGATGTACTGTGCGTGGCCTAAATTCATATAGAGCAAGCTAAAATATCTTTTTACAAAATTAGGAACAGCATACAAAGTTATGATCCATTTGAACACATAAAGCAAGCTGTTTTTATTAACTTCATTGATTCTATGGATATCCTTGCCTCGTATGTGAATGATATAGTAAATAACAAAGAATACAATGAGGAAAGTTCAAAGAATAATTTTTTGAAATTACTAAAATTGAGCTTATGGAGTAACAGGTAACAACATTTTTATACTTTCTTTTTTTAAGTACATATTACAAACTATAATATATTATTTTATTTGTAGGGTTGATTTATCTGCAAGTGCAGGATCTGTTCAAAGTCAGACTGATAATCCATTGAATATGGTGGACTCTTTGGATGAAAATATATTAGTAAACAATTGGGAACTTGTATGGAATATCATAAAGAAGAAGACAGATAAAAATGTTGATAATATTCATATAGTGCTTGATAATGCAGGATATGAACTCTTCACTGACTTGTGTTTAGCAGCCTTTTTGGCTACCATTGCACCTGAAATTAAAATAACATTTTATGTAAAGCGATTCCCATGGTATGTGAGTGACACGACGATTCAAGATTTCCACTGGACATTAGATCACTTGAATAGTTTAGATAATTACCCAAATTTGAAATTACTGAGTAAGATGTTCGAGAATCTTTTGGACCGTGAAACTTGGTGTGTTAAGGTATAATTGATTTTTAAATTTTGATATCATTCAGTTATTATTTAAGAGATTTTCTTTATTAAATATAACTTAAATTCTTTTTATTAAACAGGAAGAGCCCTATTGGACAGGACCATATGATTTTAGGCAAATGAAAGAAAAAAACCAAAAGTTATATGCCCAATTTTCCAATGCTAAATTAGTAATATTTAAGGGTGACTTAAATTATAGAAAACTTCTAAGTGACATTAATTTTGAATACAACACAAGTTTTGCAACTGCATTGGGAGATTTTCGACCCACAAATATCTTAAGCTTGCGTACTTTAAAAGCTGACATTTGTGTTGGATTACCACAAGGTATGGCTGAATCATTATTCGAAAAAATAAAATTGGTTGATAAGTGGAGATTATGGTCTCATTCAACTCGCTGTTAATTCTGATGTACCTGAAGAATTATAGATTTTTTAAAGCGCAAATAAAATAATAAAATTCGAATTCTAATTATGTATCATTTATATATTATATTTATATGTATATTACTATTATACATATACATATATAACAGAATAAGAGTTATGTATATATACAAAGGATAAAAAATATTTGATCCAAACAATTTTTGTATTTATATTTATCATAATATATCTCTATATTTTTATGTAATTTTGCGTCATATTAATTTTATGATCTGTGTAAATTTCTATATGTACATAAATAAAATCCATATCTAGTTAATTTTTCTAGTATTTTCCTATAAATATCAAACACTAAAATTTCATATTTTGCCGAGCTACACTGTTCACATTAATATACACGATTAATTATCTCATGTTCATAAAATTTTCCTAAATGTAATCAAAGAAAATATTACCAATGTTGAATTATGCGATATATTAATGTGATTATGATGACATTGTAAAGTGAAAATTTTGTTGCCTCATCTTTATTACAATTACACAATACACTTTTACAAAAAAATATTTTCACGAGTCGTACTTTCTTTCTCTTATGTTTTGCAATAATGTGATCACATATCTTTATACAACGCTATAAAACTTAAAATACTGTTCAACGTTACGTTATGTATAATTACTTATAATAAAACTACATTTTCTATTTTTTTTACTGTGCACATGTAAGATAAAAAAATTTAATAGAAAATAATAAATATTTCTTACTTTTTTGTTTATTATTATTTCAATTGGCGATATATTACATACGTATGTGCACATAAGAATCCGCCTATAATAACAAAATTATAAAGCAAGTCTAGGTATATAGAAATATATTATACTTTATTCACAAAGAGTATTGAAATATATATAAAATTATCTTGATTTAAATTTGATATTAAAATTTGCTCGACTTCGTATATATACATATTTTAAATAGAACAAATTTCAAATAAAATTGCAAATAATTTTAAGCTGCAAAATATGAGAGTATGAATAATTGCACCTTGTTATCAAACATGTCCACATTTACGTCAGTTAACAGTACAATGATTAATAGGTCAGTTTCTTAATTAGAGAAAACAAGTTACATAAAAAATGTTTGACTCATTGGAAAAAGTGCAACTATAAACAATAACGTATGCAATTTATTTTATTAACAAATAGCTGATAGAGTTTAAAAAGATATTTCTTAATAGATCTTTGCACATAAGATGCAAATATATATTTTATTATTATTGTATAAAACATATAACTTTACTTCAATTAAGCAGAACTGATCTCATTGTATCTCATTGTATTTTTGATTCTTCATATTAAAGTATGTTTTATTAAACTATAATAATGCTCCAAAAATTTTTTTTTCTTGGATTTTAAAATTAAGTACAATAAAAATCCGCCTATAATAACAAAAAACTGTGAATAAGATCAATTTAATTATTTATAAATATATTCTAAATATGATATATATATATATATATAATAAGCTGTAAAGATAGTAATAATAACAATAATTATAATAATAGAAATAGTAAAGATAACACTTATATTTCCAGTAAATGTAATATGTACTGGCACATGCTTGCTTGGCAAGCTTAATTAGAGTAGTATTACTTTTATAAAATAAAGTAACAAAATCTACAACATTCACATAAAAATTATTTATGCAAGGTGTGTGTATATATTTTTGTATTAATTTTTTGTATTTAAACATACGGAAATGACAAAATAATCATTATTATAGTATTATAATTGAATAGCAATATAAATTGAATTTCGAAATATCAATTTATCATAAAATACAAGTCAAAAATAAAATAGGCGCTATTACAAAAAATTTATTACATAATTTTCAAAAATGTTAAAAATTTGATATTTCTTTAGATATTAATGTAATCTAACACTCCTATTTTCATGCTCATCCAATACTTATTTGCGTTATATTAGAGGCATTTTTGGAAAGTAAATGAAATTAAATCGATATAGAAACATAATTTTTAAAAAATTAATTAGAAATTACTGGCTCTAAGCACGACTATTACTTGTTCTCGCACTTAAAGAATAAAAATTTGACGGAGAAATGTTTTTCGAGCACTGCTGACCAATTAACATTTACTTTTCACAAATGCCTCTCTTGCAATTTTATTATCTATATACATCACATATGTATCTATACAATATTAGTAATAGAAAGCAAGCGAGAGTAAACATATGAAGTATTTTGAATTTATATTAGAGCTACTTTTGTCATACAGGTAACTACAAGTCTTTTACATAATATATCTTTTATATGCTCTGCTCTTACAATATATGTATACCATCCATTAGTGAAACCCTACCCAATAATAGTTTATATCCAACTCTAATCTAACGGATCTCTTTGCTGAAACAGACAAATTTACTGATAAACTGTTCCATAAGGTATTACTTTCACGGTGTTAAATAATTATTTACAAAATTATATTTAAAACAAGTATAGAATGATTCAGATAATGTCCCTTAAAATGTTCCTATGATACGAGATATTTTCAAATATCAATATTTTTTAATAATCACACACATATGTACATACCAAGTATGAAAAAAATAATTTAGATAAGTTTGCTTTCAAAAATATTTAAAGAAATGGAAAAATTTATATAATTTATTTAAAAATGAGATATTTTTACTTTTTCTTTTAGTCTAAGGGACATCTAATTTATCTTATAAATGAGATACTAATCAATCTTTATTACCAAAAAAGAATTTCTTATATTCAATTGATAGATTATGTAACGAAATTATCATTTATATATATTTAAAAATTTTTATAATAACAAAATGTATCAAAATGACAAATAATTTGATATTTTGTATTTAAATCTGAATACATTACTACACATGTAATACTATTAATACAATCTTTTTACATATCAGAGGACATTGTAGATAATGATCTGTATGAAGTGAACATTTATATAGAAAGAGCATAAAGAGAATTTTTTTATAGAATTTATAACATTTAAATGATTATCAGGAAAATGTGACATTTTACCGAATGTCACACAAGGTCCGCCATATGTAACGTCTTATATCTAACAATTTTATGCACATAATGAATAAAAAAGATAATAGAAAGTAGTTAATGATTCTAAAAACCTTTCAGTAGTTGGTATCTAAAAATCGTTTCTGAAAAAAAAATTGAAAGTGTAGATTAATGTAAAATTAATTATAAAGCTTAAAATATATTCAATCAAAATAATAATTCGTGCTCGCGCACAGATATAACACAAAATCATAGATACTATGTATAAACAAAGAGGCACATGTATATTAAAAAATAGAATTTAAAAAGATATATGTACATATTCTCATATATTTCAATTATGACTAACAACATATTTCAATTATATATCCAAATTCCTTCAACACACTACCACCTAGCATCCATTTTGAGGCACCCCGCATAGTGTCCCGCGTCTTACATTGTGTTTACGGAAAACGGACATATTCGTAAACACGATGGACACCAAGCAAAAAAGCATAGAAATAAATTCAGCACGATGTAAATCGTTTTTCTCCGAGTGGAAATTGCATTATCGAGCACAAAACATACATTCACACTTTTGGACTTGTTAATTTCATAATATTTGTATATATACGAACATTTGTTATTTAGCTATCAAATATATTAAATAACAATAAATGGAAATGACTGTAATCTCCTAAAAAGAGTAGTCTCCTATGTAGTTTGAATGCGAATAATTTGGTCTGAATGATCTTTTTTTTCATATTACAACTAAAAAACATGCAAAATTTGTAATCATATTATTCACATTAGTATTCGATATTTATTCCACCTTATTTACGAGATGAATGTTACTTGGTGAATGTAGCAAATACAGCCCAAAGAACCGGGTTGGCGTTACGTTTAGCAGCTTCTGCTTCAAAATCAAGATCTAATAACGTCCGTACTCTTCGCATCGCTACTTCGTAATCGTCATCCGATAATGGAGCAAATGCATTTTCTAATACATCAGCTGCATGAGCTAAAATAACTAATGCTAATGTTCGTCTATCCATACGAGCAGCATCATTCACCCAACGGCCTAACACGGCTTCTTGGATCTGAAAGACAAAAAAGCAACATATGCTATCGTCTCATTCACAACTTATAGCACACAATTCCTATTCATTATTTTTTCCTGCAAAAAAAAACACATTTTTTTCTCATTCATTAATCTTCTATTATTTTTTTTATTTCTATTTCTGATTTTGTTTCACACTAAAAAATTTTTATATGTACTTTTCATAATTAAAAATATTAGGAAATTAGGAATTATTTAATGCTGTTACATAATCAAACTTGAATTGCAAATGAAAAATTTTTACATAAGTACCTTCTTTTCCTTTTTTCTCTTTTAGTAAATAATTTATGTCATACATAGTAAACAATTTATATTATAACAATTTATAATGAAATAAACAATAAATATGTAGATCTATCTTTAAAAAAGATATTTCTGTTATTTATATATAGAAAATATAACGTCATGCATATAAATAAGTACAATCATGTTTATATATATGTATATATATATATATATATATATAGAATTTGATTTGTGTTTTATCTTCTCCACAGCTTCTAATCAATGTAAGTATAAAGCATGTATAAAGATAAGATATATATTACTGCTTCCGTAGACTATAATACAATATATTATAATAATATGTATACATAACACAGAAGCTAGTTTTATATATCTTAAAAATAACTATAAAGACAATGAATAGAGAAAAGTGAAATTTAATTGTTGAAAGTAAACTTCATTATAATCTTAAAGAAATAGTAACTTATAAAAAACTGAGTAAAGAAATAACTTTATTTTTATTAGCAATGCAAGCATATTATTACAATAATATGCTTGCATTGCTAATAAAAAATAAGCATTTTTCAATAAAATTAATGAAAAGAGATTTGATTCAAGAAAATGTATTATAAAAGATACGAGTTTTAGATGTGAAATTTTGTCCAGGAAGGATGCTACATTACAATTTGCAATTAATTTTCAATGCCATATTAGCAATTAAGAATTATCATTGTGTTGTATAATCAAAATATTCAATGTATAAAAAAAACTAATAAATATTTCTTAATAATGAAATCACTTAATAATGAAAACACAAATTAACGATAATATAACAACGATATAATCTCTAATTAATAAGTATAATCAGGTATATAAGGCATTAAAATAAACACTAAAGATTAATATGAAAAATAATCACAAGATTTAACTACAATATATAATTACTATAGGAAGAGACCTATACCTAGTATAAAAGCCTTCAAAATGATAAAACTTTCGCAATTATAAAAATTCTATTAAATAAAATGTTAAATAATAAAACATTTTGTTAGTATAAAAAACATTACAGTTTATATTATAACAATACTATTTTTGTTCAAAAAAGAAAGTTATTCTTTTCTTTAATACACATGCAAATAATTTGTTCCATTGTGTTTACACAATAGAGTTCAATACAAAGGAATAAATGTATGTCACATATGGTCTATCTTCTTTAGTTCAAGAAATAAAATAAAATAGCTATATATGTGTAAAATTTTGAAGAGATTCTATTTAAAATTTTATAGCAATTTTATCAGCATAGATGAAAAAAATATTAAACAATTATAAATAGAAAAACTTCTTATTTAAAGTTCTGCAGAAATGTCTGCCAAGCTTGTCATTACTAATAAACGACAATAGTGATCCAATAAGTCTCTTTGATATCATGTGTAACAACAATTAAATATATATACATATATTATATATATATGTAATATATATATACATATATATATATATATATGTAAAACATATGTTGTTACGTGTATAAAATAAATTTCGAAATTTATGATTGTATGAGCTCTTTCATCCTCGAGATAAAAATATAAAAAGCTTGGTTTAGCAATTCATTTCAAACATATGCTATGTATGTATAGATAGTGTAATGAAAATGTAATATAGAAAAATGAATAATTTACCTTTTTCACGAGTCGACTTTTGGCAAGATTATCAGTAAGAGGATGAGTTGTCATATCAAACAGTAAGAAATTTTGTTTCTCCGTAGTTAAGACACCTTTCTCAACGAGATTTTTCGCTAGTCGTTCCCTGACATTTTTCAATTGATATCTTAATTTTAAAGGATTCCATGTTTCTCCTGTAGCAATATACAAGATATTCAAGACAAATCCATATTGTATGTATATATACATATACATACATATATAAATAAAGAAACTGACCACTGAGATACTCTATCCAACTCTGCACAGTCTCGGCTGGCTCTGTGTCCTTCAAGTGTTTCAGGGCCTCATCCAACAACACATCTCCCGTAGGTGCATCATTCTTCAGAACAAGTTTCCTCGCCAGTAAACTCTTCTTACGCATCCCTGCCTTCTCCAACTCCACTCTGCCACGGAAACCAAGTTCTGCCAAGATACATCCCCTCAATCCGGAACTTATGCAATCATTCCAAAAGGAAGTGTACCCCTGTAAGGAAACGAAGGATAATACACAATCGACGAAGATTCTGAAAGATCTGTACAGAGAACTGTAATAAGTATATATAAAACCTCTTTGTCCTTCAGGCCGAGGAGCAGGACCTCCTCCATGAGAGTCAGCCGGGTTTCCTTATCCGAGTCCTCGTCGATGGTGGGATTGCAATTGAGATCCTTCAGGGACAAGCAATCCGTGTCCGGGCTCTGGCCCGACAGCTTGTCATTGTGACAGGTGAGGTCCGCGTTCGCGCCGTCCTGGCCGTGTCCGCTGCCGCCCCCGGCTCCGCCGCCGCCGACGCCGCCCCCGTTGCCGCTGTTGACGACGCGTCGTCGCTGCACCAGCCCGTCACCGCGATTCATCGTGCGATGCGGACACTAGGACGGGCCGCTTTGGAATACGTCCGCGTGTCGCCAGATACGCCACCGTGTCACCACCGCCGTGATGCGACGTGGTGCTCGTCGTCGTCGTCGTCGATCCGACAATCAGTGAATGTTGTTGCTGCTGCTGTCACTGCTCTTTACTATTATTGTCGCTCCTGCGACTGGCATTTAGGTGTACGCGATAAACACTCCGTGCCGTTGACGTTTATTCCAAAGCGACATGTCTGTCTTCCAAGATGGCCAATTCTCCGTCCGGCGAGTGTCTCGCAATCACCAACCTCGAGAACACGCGTCGATGACTCGACGCGGCGTGGCGCGTCGCAAAACAGAAAGCGAGGAGAATGCGGAGGAAAAAACGCGTTTCCTTTTCCGAGCGTTTTATCGTTCCCGTTAAAATTCGACTGGAGCTCCTGCGCTCTCGCGCACGTACGTACGTATGTATGTATGTGTTTGTTGGTCGCGATTTTCACTCACATATACGATATGCGTCCGCTGTGAATTTATCGCTGTTGTATAGAGTCGCGCGCGATTTCGGAGCAAATTCAAAAACACGGGGGTCGCTCGATACTGCGATATTGTTACGTCTGCCAAATCGAAGGCGAAATAGGATGAGTATTGTTATACGTCCGAACTTGTCACCGCGACAAGAGCGAATCAGCGAAGTGGAGCAATGTCGCCAGAACACGAGGTGTCCGAAAAATTTCGAATTAAAAATGTTCTAGGGAATGTGACGCAGCGAGAGCGAAGATCGGCCCGCCTGTTTCTTCAGTTTCATACGGGAGAGATGATTGGATATAGCGTCGCCGCGGTTTTTTATAAGTAAAAGCGCGATAAATATGAATCTCGATTTTGTAAGATTGTAAGTTTGTGAGATGAATTTCTGTTTATATCTTTTCCAGGAACTGTCCCGGAAATTTTCTCAGCGCTGAAGAGGAAGAACGAGTTAAAAGATCAGTCATTATCAGTGTTGTGCTTAGGTGATTTTAAAATTCTCTAGCTAAAGATGAGATAAAAATATATAATAAATGATAATCCTTAAGAGTCGCCAGTAATAAATAATGAAAAACTCTCCTCCAATTTTAAAGTCGACCAGACTGGCAATAATTTATTTTAAATAATTAGTTTAATTTACAACGTTTCGGCTGTCATTGCAGCCCTTTTCAAGTAATCTATAAACAATTATATACATATAAATATACTCTTAATGCGCTTAATCATACAAATAATTATAGATTTACAAAAATATATATGTTTACATACCAGATTAATACAATAAATCATATTTACAGCAAATTGCGAAAGACACAGTACTTTGGTTTTCTATTTCCTCAACGCGTAGTGACTAAGTTTCCTGCTAACAGTCAACATCTATTTATTTCGGGCTTACTTCTGTCAGTTATACATTGTTCATCAAAACAATGGTTAATTTTGTCGGGGGTTTGCTGTAAATATGATTTATTGTATTAATCTGGTATGTAAACATATATATTTTTGTAAATCTATAATTATTTGTATGATTAAGCGCATTAAGAGTATATTTATATGTATATAATTGTTTATAGATTACTTGAAAAGGGCTGCAATGACAGCCGAAACGTTGTAAATTAAACTAATTATTTAAAATAAATTATTGCCAGTCTGGTCGACTTTAAAATTGGAGGAGAGTTTTTCAAAAATATATAAATTCATTTTATAGATAAGATGAAGATGATTTTGAATTTAAATATGTCTAGATAAAAAATAAAATTATATAGCAATTCATCTATTCAATTCTAGATAACTTTCAGATATTATTTTTAAAATTGCTTATGTAAACATGCACAGTTATAAAAAAATGTTAATTATAAAAAGGATTTAAAATTCCTATATTTATACTTATTTTATTTGTAAGTTTTCATTGAACACTTTTTTTATCTAATTGTAAGATATACAGATATATATATATATATACAATTAGATGAAAAGTGTTTGATGAAAACTTACAAATAAAATAAGTATGAATATAGAAATTTATATATATATAAAGATAAGGTGACGTCAAAAATTCATCTAGATGATCATCTATATAATTTTATTTAGATAACAGCAAACACTGATCATTATATTTATATCAGTCGATAAAATAAAAATCAAAATATAAATATGTGCAAATGCAAAGACAGATAAGGCACAAAATTTTTAAAGACCTTCGCAAAATTTTCTTGTTCTATAAATATATCTTAGATACACGAAAATGCTCATTTTGTCACAAATACGTTCGTGAAAGGTATTGCACAAACGTTTCAAATATGCTACATGTTATATTTTTTAGATGTTCTAATGACGTTTTATATAGTGTTATTTATAAATTGATATTTTGAATGAAACTTTGAAATATTTCTGCAACATTTCTGTAGAGTTTTGTGCTATGTGGGCGATAATCTTGATACATATCTATGAAATTAAATATTATATTTAATTAAAAATTTTACGATATATGCGTCTGTGACATGAAATTTTATTTAATTAAAACTTTTACTTTTTTATTCCTTTATTAATTAATATATATATATATATATATATATATATTTAAAGTAACGAATTCAATATTCATATACCCATACAGCACCGATAGATTGCAAAAACATTACAACAATCTTTCACCGCAATATTGCAATATTGCAAATTCACTGCAAAATGTGGCTACATCATTGCTGTTGAATTGCAGCAATGTTAAAATGTCCGCTTTTTGGAAGATTTCAACAAAATACTACAATAATATTGCAATAAATTAATATTAATGTTATTAACAAAATTATTGATTATTGTTAACATTTTTTATTGTACAATATTGCAAAAAATTATTTTATTACAGTATTATACCCAGCAAATACCAAGTTACAGTTATATAATTGTTAGTTGTAATTTTCCACTCAACAATATAATTGTTATAATACACGTATTATATTTTTGATTGGGAAATTACAACTAACAATTATATAGCTGTAACTTGGTGTTTGCTGGGTATATGTATATATATTACAATATATAAATTATAGAATTTGGATTACATGCAATATTTCCGAAATATTAATGTCATGTTGCTACAAGTGTGCTAGAATTTTGTGCACCTATATCTCTACAATGTCTTTATAATGTTGCATTGCAACTTGCAACATTGCAACGTTGCTGCAATATAATTGCAATAATCTGTGCTGTATGGGTAATTTCTCTTCCCTCCCTCTGTCTTTTCCTCTCCTTCTCGTTATATAATGATGCCATATATGTAATAACTAACATATGACGTATGTGACATTACTCCGTAAAGGCGTTGGCAGAGTGATAAGTGTTTGAACTTTTATATATCTACATATAGCAATATAGACCAGTGATAGCCATAAGTATAATATATTATTTTAACCGGGATATGCTAATTTGAATATATATATGTAAAACTATATATTTCTCGTATGGAACATCGAGGTCTCGTACAACAAGTAGATTACATGGCACAAAGTGCTGACGTGTGTAAGTATGAATCACTATATGTATACTATATATTTCTTAGATAATTCTTGATATGGACGATGAATATATGGTTGGCATGCAAAAAGGCTTTAAAAATCAAATAGTTTAATGCAAATTGTGAGAAGCTGCGTTTTATCATCCGCGGAATGTCTATAATTAAGTATTTTACGATAGAAACTATGAACTATAATGTTCTGTCCTAGCTCATTTGTGAAATTCACTATTGATAGCGATAAAGAAGCAAATGTGAATAAAACATCGACATCAATGGAAAAACCAACAGGATCTACAGAAAGTGAGTACAAATACATGGATAAATAAAAATAGATTGGCTTATTATTAAAACAGTAAAGAAAATGAAAGATGAGACTACATGTAAAAACAGGAGATCAAGATGATGATTATATAAGGCGTAGTAGTTCGGAAAAAATTAGAGAATATTAAACAACAAACTTAATAACTTAAAAGAAATAAAGAATAATTAAGTATTAGACAAATTTTTGCATTCTTATTTTCGACATACCAGCTCATCTTATTAGCCCATATACCTTCCAATCTCTTTCATTTGAATATATTAGAGCCTTCTCTCCATCTAAAAATTAACATGACGCATTTGATCCGCAGTGGCTGACATTACGATACAAGAAGAAAAACAAAAAGAAAAGGAACTAATATTATATACAAATGTGCGAAGCTTGATAAAGCGCATAGAAAAAATAAAGCAGATTAGGGAGGAAACATATCCAGCAGTTATAGCATTATCAGAGACTAGAGTGACGGATAAAATTAAAAATAGTAAAGTAAACGTGCAGGGTTATAATATAATTACATGTGATTCTAAAAATAGACGTACGGGAGGGGTTGTGTTATATGTAAGAGACGATATTAAATATGAGGAAGTTTTGATTGAAAAGAAATTGTCGAAATGCTGGTGCGCCGCGATAGAAATAAAAGAGAAATTTTATAAAGGTGTGATAATGGTAATATATCACTCGCCAAATGCATCAGACCGCGATTTTGTGAAATTCCTAGAGGATATAGTAGAAGAGGTAATATTTAAAGGAGATTGTATGGTAATAGGCGACTTTAATATAGACTTTAAAATGACAAATAAAATCTATACAAAGCAGTTGAAAACGGCAATGCATAGTTTAGGTATGAAACAGTACATTGATAATCCAACGAGAATTACGAAGAAGACTCAAACAATTATAGATTTAGTTTTTGCTAACACCAAAATACACGCACAAGTAGATCACACGTTTAATATAGCAGACCATGCGTGGCTAAAAATTAATTTGAATGCAAGTAAATCCAAAAATAAGTATAGAGAATTTAGTGCTACAGATTATAGTGATTTTAATATAGACGAATTTAATACAGTGTTAAAAAATAAAATAGGGCAAATACAAGGTGTGGATGTTAGTGCAGAAGCAAAGAAATTTGTTGATATAGTGAATGCGCTGGACTCTACGGCATTTAGAAAAATTAAAAGTTCCGAAAGTATGGGAAGGGAAAAGCTTTTCAGATGAAATAAAGGACGCAGTGAATAGAGACGAAACGTATAAAGACACAGATCAAGAAAAAAAGGACAAATATTATATTGAAAATATAATTAATGATAATAAGGGAAATCCTACATCTATGTGGAATGCTATAAAAGAAATATTTAAAGATGAGCCGGAGGATAGAAAAGAAGTAGAGGATATAGATTTTGAAATATTAAATAACATTGAAGAGTGCAATATAGTGGATAAATTTAATTTATATTATGTACAGAGTGTTGATAACACAGTAAAATCTATAAATGGATATGAAGCAGAATGTATAGATGAACAAATTATTTCTGTTACTGAAAGTAGTAAGATTATGAAAAATTTTGAGATGATTAGTGTAAAGAATCTTGAGGAAGTTGTAATGGGTCTACCAAAAATGAAGGACACAGAAGAGGGTATAACTAGTGACACACTTAAAACAATGTTTTATATGATAGAGAAGACATTTGTTGATGTAATAAATAGTTCATTGAGGAAAGGTTGTTGTCCGGATAATTGGAAAACATCCACGATAATACCGATCCCGAAAGTAGAAAATGCGACAAAAGCAAGTGATTATAGGCCCATTAATATGTTATCAATATTTAAAGAAATATTAGAATTAATAGTAAAAAAACAAATTAAAATG